TAAGGGATAAAACTCTAAACAAATATTTGATAATCAAAGGAATCGAATATACATCTGGCTAAATTGTATTCGTTTATAAATTGAATACTAAAAACTGTTTGTTTACAGTTACATGAACTACCGAAACGAATATGACTGAATAGTTAGACGAACAATTAACGAACTAGTCGCTAATTATTTAGTTTGCTTCCACCCCTAATGGTTAAGTCATTTGACTTTAGTTTCCAATGTATTATAAATGGATGTGTCCTGATTGCATTTGAATTAGAGGACTACATGTAGTTGATGAAAGCCATGGAATATCCACTTTTTTTTTGCAGAAACATCAACTGGTATTTATGTTACTTACAGATAGTGGATGCTTTATGGTATCCAATATGTCATGTATAAGAATTTGATGTCTCAGATACTCTTACATATGTATTTGATAAATCTGGGTAGATGATTCTTTTAGAAATAAAAGTTTTCGCATAGTTACGTACATTAAATTTCAGAATACTAGTGTGACGTATCTCGAAAGATATTTAAGTGGGGAATGTTTTAGTTTATCAATGAATCTAATGATTGTTCTGATCTATACAAGGAAAACTGACATCATCAATGCTGAATGTATTTGTTTCGACATTTAAATTGAGGAGCTATTTCTGTAATTATCTCTATTACTTGAGACAAAAATATATTTTATTAGAGCTGTGCAGAAATTACAACTGTTTTTATAATTGCTTCTTTTGAATCAGTTGTGCAAAGGTGTTAATACCTGAAATTCACATATGTAGTTTTTCCTTGAAGATTTTATGCATGCATGATGTATCCAGTATAGGTGATTCCATGATCTACTGGTTTTGGTTGTAAAAGTATTGCTATTAAGTTTTAAGGAATCCATGATTTTAGATTATCTAGAGTACCTGATTTGCTTGTAAATAGTTCCTTCACATCAAATGGATATGTAATTTATATTCCAATGCAATAAGCTAATCATAACTTATGATAATGAAAGTTTTTATCAAATGTTCAATTTTTGTGAGAACATATTTGAAATATATCAATTAAGCTCAAAATAAGCATTTAAAAGCATTCCCCACTCATACTAATCCTCAGACCATGAATGAGAAGTTATACTATTTTAATGAATAGTATCATACTAGGTTTCTATGAAATGCTTGCCTTTCACTTTTATATTGAATGTCCCCTTTTATTATATAATGAGTCTTCCGGGCAACGGACACTAATGATTCCTGAATTTTGCCAATTATTATGTTATTCATGATGTTCTGGGTGCTTGAATGAATTAGACCAATGGGATACTGCTTTTATCTTTCTATCTTAAATTGGCCTTATAAAGTGGGTGTTTCCGTTGATGCTTGTTTTTTCAGGGCAACAGATAAGGACTTTCGTTGATGCTGTAGAACAGTATGCTCAATTAGGGCTACGTACCCTCTGCTTGGGTTGGCGTGAGTTAAAAGATGAAGAATACAAAGAGTGGTCACTTATGTTTAAAGAGGCTAATAGCACATTAGTTGACAGGGAGGTAAGTTATATCATCTTATAGGTTTTTAACTTTATTACGGGTTACAGGAACTGATATTGCTGTGTTTTCTTAGTGGAAGTTCGCTGAGGTTTGCCAAAGATTAGAGCATGACCTTGAGATTCTTGGGGTCACTGCTATAGAGGACCGCCTACAGGTTTGTAATTTGGCGTGCAACAGTACCATATCTCCTCTAAAGTAACTTAAAAGTCTGATATCGTGTGACTATCGTGGATATGTGGCATCTGCTTACCAGTTTCCATTGCTTATATTTCCCTATTTATAGGATGGTGTTCCTGAAACTATTGAAACACTGAGGAAGGCGGGAATCAATTTCTGGATGTTAACTGGTGACAAACAAAATACAGCTATCCAAATTGCACTCTCATGCAACTTTATTACTTCAGGTGGTTTGCATTTATGTGTCTTCTTCCTTCTCTTCCTATTTTGTCTCGCCAGAATTATGTTATTTCCTTTTGTTAACGTATAGCATAAGCATTCATGGATCAAGTATATGGTACTGATCATTTGTTTTATCAGATTAGTTGTTAAATACCTCAAAGTTAACTTCTTTTAAACATAAATATCCCAAAGTGTTATTTTGACTGATAAATATTTCGAGGTTCATCAGTGTGAAAAAAGAGTTAAGTTCACAGTGTTGAGGCCAATGACTATTTTACCCTTTCATATTCTCCCCACCATTCCCCCATACTGGACTCCTGTTACTTGTGCTGGACGTTGCCAATTCCCTCTTTTCTCCCCATCTCAATGCCTCCTCTCCTCTATCCTGATTCCCAATTTGAAAGCTTTATTTTATTTTGTCCTCTTTTATTGATTTTTGAGATATGATTGAGAAGTTTGCATTGATTCTCTGGATTGGCTTTCTTTTTTATTTTTATTGACTTTTTGAAGATGATTTTGTTTTGATTTGTTGGTTCAAAGGTGACTTATTTTGAGGAGGAAGTTGTGGCTAAGGTACATTAAATGGAAGAGAGAAGAATTTTTTGGTTAAGAGAGAAGAATTTGGAACGAGAAGGATGAGGTTGAAAGAGGAAGATGAAACGTGGGAGAGTTTTTCCTTTTCAGTAAAAGTAAAAATGTGCAAACGTCATCATGTGAATTTATTTGGCAAGTGGTGACAGTTGGGTTTTTAAACAAGAATTAGTCTTTTTTATCTGTCAGCTTTGAAAAGTTAAACAACGTGAAGTTTCTTGCTGTAGAATGAAAATCTCGATGCTAAATCTAAATCTCTTAAATGATGTGTGGTTTTCTTTATACACTCTTCTCATATCTCTGACCTAAAGTCTTCAATATTTCTCAATTTCTCGACTTCCCTTGCATTTGAACTGTTATGTTTCTTTAGAACATCTTGACCTACCTCAATTTCTTTTAGTACTCTCAATTTCTTTAAGTACTATGCTTTTTTAGAACATTCTTTGTAACTTCCATATATCTTACTTTTCGTCCCCTCTTTATGTAAAATGAAGGTTGCAGGTGCTATTTTTAAAGCATTGTAGATTGTATGATGCTTAGTGGTCTTACTCATGCTTTAGTGACACCTAGAAGCTATATGTTGGGTCTGAAATATGAATTAGTTATAGTTGCTTTTATGGTCTGTTAAATTATAACTCTGCTTCTATCTTTTTGACAGAGCCGAAAGGGCAACTATTGTTCATTAATGGGAAGACAGAAGATGAAGTGTTTAGAAGCTTAGAGAGGGTGTTACTTACAATGAGGATCACTTCATCAGAGCCCAAGGTTATTTCTGGGCATGGATAATATTGTTCTTTCTGAAGGAGTTCATTTTTTTATAATTGATTTAATTATGGATTAACCATTCAGATTAAAACGAAAATATTTGTACAAAGGGCATAAACAGGTATAGGGTTGTTTAAATTTTCTGTTGCACGGATTAATAGTGTTGGTTGCGATTTCCTTCATCATCTTTTGAGCAGGCCATGACATCTTGGTGACGATTGCAAGACAGGTCTTCTTTCACATAGTCCCCGCACGATATGCAGAATCAAGTTGTCTGGATTCACACACTTAAAACCAAGTAACAAGCACCTTAACTCATGCTGCAGTATTGCAACACTGCAAACATGATCATCTCACTGTAGTTATTTAATAAAGTTACTGGATTCTGGATATATAGATAGGAGGGATACAGGTAGGTGGAGTTAGTTTATAGTACGGGGATTCACACAACCTTGTACCGTTTATCGGAAGTTTGTTACTGATATCCTCAGCCAATCCAAAATGCTTATGGTCATTTTTCTAGGTTTGTATCTAAAGTTGATCCTGCGAAGTACAGTTACTCTGACTGGTCAAAGATCGCTCTATCTTGCTGTGTAGGGATTGGAATGATTTTTTCCCTCCACTTTTCCATGAATTATTTTGTAGTTTAATACATAAAAACAGGCGAGGATATTGATGAATACTAAGTTTTATTCTGTAGGAACAAAATGGATCTATTTCTCTTGCAGTAAGTATATGTTACATAAAAGTTTATTTCATGACCTGTTTCCAGTCTTCCGCTGTACCCAATATTTGAGTGGCTTCTCATACTTTTGTCTGTGGGGCACGTGGAGCAGTAATATTCAGTTTATTTTTCATTGGCTCATTACAGCGATGCACTGTCTTTTTCGTTTTCTTAGGACAACTTTGGCCTTGTAATTGTAACTATATGTGTGTAGTACTTCTATCTCTTCAAGTAATTTATGTCTTCTAACTTCACGTCTAATTATACATATAGCCATTTATATTAGCACTCTCTTTGGGTGCTGTTTCGTCTTCCAATTGTCTTCAAGGCATTCTCCCCAATTGACGATTTTCTGTTGATATTTGCATTCAAAATGTTGACATTATACATTCTTACTTCTTTTGCTGATTCTCTTTAGAATACGTTTTCGCTGTGTGGCCTTAGAAATTGTCCTCAATAATCACAGAGAAACTTTCACTGAACTGGCAATTCTTTCAAGGACTGCAATCTGTTGCCGCGTAACTCCCTCACAGAAAGCGCAGGTAATCTTTATACTAACAATCATTTTCAGCATCTGCACACATTTATCTCTCCTTTTGCTAATTTAGTGGGTGTATTACCTGTAACTGGAGCTATGATGGAGAAGTCTATTCTAGGTGACTTGAATGGGAAGTTTCTTAAAATACTTGATTCATGTCCCACATCCAGTTGTTTCATTTGGTCGAAACATTGAATTAACGGTTGGGCGGAGTTAAGATTCCGTTTTCATATTTAAAATAAAGTGAGAATATGGACGCTTCCTATGTGATTGAACTCAACTCATGTCTCACATTAGGGATAAAGTTTGTGTAATCCATTATTAACTCCCCACCGTTCGAACTCCATCTTGTAGAACAAGTTAGTATCAGAGACCACTGTGATGATCTGGTCTAAGTCAGGTGTAGGATGGCGCAATGTTGTTTATGTGAGTCAATAACTTCATGATTTGATTGGCACTGCCATTGCATGAAAATATATCTGAAGTTCGAGTTTCAAACAGATTCAGTCGTTAGGCAGAGAAGGTTGCATTAATGCACTACATCACAAAGATAAAGGCAAGGACACAATCAGGTTGCGCTAATGCAATTTGTTACAAAGATAAAAGGAATGGATTCAGTCAGGCATTAGGCAAAGAAGATTTGTGGTAATGCGCTGCATTACAAAGATAAAGGTGAGGACACTATCATATGAGTCAATAACTCCATGATTTAATTAGGCACACGTGTTGAGCCTCCGCCCCAAAAGGTGTTTGCACTCTTTAAGTAGAGGTTGCCTAAGGGAAGGCTTTTTTCGGGTTTGTGTCTGGCTTCAGGTTGAAACATCCAGTTAAGGTGTTGGTGAGCAGTGGTGGAGCCAAGAATTTTATCTTCGGGGTCCAAGAATCTAAGATATATAAGTGTCCTCTTATTTATTTCATCAAAGAAAGAGAGAAAGAACAAACTTTGAACTAAATTTGTATGCTTTTTTCATTCAAATCTAAAACAAAGAAGTCTCGATAAAATTAGGAGTATAGGAGTGCTTACCTTGTTTTATCAAATTTGATTCAGATATGACCTCCTATCCTGAGGAATGAGGATATGATGAAAGTAAAATTGTTAAGTTGGTGCAGGTAGATATGAAAATTTTTGCACATAAACAAGAACATGATTGTGGATCTAGACGTTGGCAATTAGAAAGATGCTCAAAGGATTAGGAGGTTCAGAGTAAATTAGGCAAAAAGTTTTATGTTGATAGATGGGAAAATTGATGTGGTATAGTTTTCAATTTGTGCATCCTTGAAAAATAAGAGTATTGGCAATAATTAGGTAGCTCAACTAGTTTTGGGGGATTTTCAAGAAGGCCAACTAATTACTATATATTTATATAAATTGTTAAAATTACAATTACTATATACATATGCAAATTTCAAAAGTTTTGAGGGGCCGTACATTTACTCTATACATATGCAAATTTTAAAAGTTGGGGGGGGGGGCGGCACGCCAAACATGAACCCTAGCTCCGCCCCTGTTGATGGAAATAATGTGAGCCCTTAACATTTTGTGGCATATAAGGCCTATTGGATTGACCTTTTAGGTTGAAGTTTTGTTAGTGTTGTACCCATGCCTTGCTCAGCTCAATCATCGCAACATAAAGGTTTCTTGCAGCTAGCTTCCCACACAAGCATTTCCATATTACCGTAATCATTTTTGTAAAGGTGAAGGATACAGAACATTGTTTGGACATCTTCTAACTTCAAACCACTGCATCTATCTGACCAAGTAATGACTATTCTCTAGGCTCTTTTAGTATGCAAAATGGCCTGGATATTGTCCTACATATCACAATTGTTTGTGTACCTGAAAATTCAGTCTTTGACATCTTAGTCATTTGCATTTCCTTGGACAATTCTTCTGATAAAGCCAGGCATGTAGGCCTTTTTTAACTGCTCCATACTGATCCCACTCGATCTATACATTGGAAAGTTTTACAATAGCGGACTATAACTCAGAAGTGCAATGCAGTGAAATCGTAAGTCACATGTAAAGTGGGAGAGTACTTCCTTTGCAGCAATCTGGGTCCTTAAATTGTCCTCTTTCCTTAAAAGAAGCCCTTATTCGCATTAACTTGCATTCTATTTCCTTTGGTACTTGTGAACTTCATTCCTTCATCTGTCTATACTCCCGACAGAGGCCTGATAAAGTAGAACTTTTAAGAAAATGGAATCTATTCAAATATCTAAAACAGGTGAAATAAACTTTACTCTGATCAAATTGTTATATTACACAGTAGCAAAATATAGGGAAGAGGTCCTATATTTGAACCTTATAATTACGTTCTTCTCCAATCTCCATTGATTGGACCATTTTAACTGAGTCATATTATGTTGGAAATCTTCCTAGGTGACCTAAAGGCCCGCACCAAGGAAACTATAAGGCAATGAAAATTGATCGATGTACATTGCTAGTTGATAACCCGTGAGCTTAAGCTTTTGCATATCTATAATTTTCAAAGATCATTTCTAATGGTTGACATTTTCAATTTAGATGCTTGCCATGTGCTTTCCATTGATGGAATGTGAAGTTGAACCTTATCTATATAGCCTCCACTCAACTCATTTAGAGAGTTATTCAGAGTGGATTTGTCTGTGGGCCGTCATGTCTGCTTGTGCGTGTGACATGCAAATGTATACTACATTTAACATCCAATATTTCTGCTGCAGTCTCAAGTCTAAAGGAGAAGGGTTGTTTTGATAGCAAACCTCCAAGTTTAGAATTTCTTTTATAAGACTATAGGAGAATCCTTATGGAATATGTTTCACTCATGCAAAGAGGGTACAGATGTAACATGATATCAGCATGCAAAATAGAGAAAATCCTTAAAAACCATGATGCAGACATTAACAATATCATTGCACGGAAATAATAAAATCATATTTGTATATGTATGGGTTACTAAATAAAATAGTACATGCTCAAATTTTTTGATGGACCCATTGCAGAATATGAAAATATGCTTGTTGATAAAACATATGATTTTCTTACTATTCAATTCTTTATCTTTAACACGGATCTGTAAAGATGCAATGGTTAAGGAATAGAGTGCGTTAGATGTTAAAAAATGTTTCCAAGTTAAACAAATTAGTAACTTAGGGAACCATCACAGTTCCTCATTAAGAAAGTAAGAAAGCTATGGAAATGTCTATACAATATATATACGTCATTGAACAAATGCTGTAGTGTTGTTGTTTTTGCCTTAGGCTACTCTCTTAATGAAGTCATAAACCCTTTTCCTCTTTGCTGTTCAACTTTTTTCAAGTGAAGACTATGCACCAATAAAAAACTGACACTGCATTTCTTGACACTGGTCAAGTTTGTTCTTTGTTTTTATGTGAAAGAAAAACCTTAATGGTTAGCATGCCATTGAACTACTGCTGCCTCAGTTTTAGTGCCGCCTGCCTTTTAAAGCTTTACTAATTTAATTTCAATAAACATCTTAATTTCTTTTGTAAAAGGTTGCTGCTGTTCTGCAATATTTGTATGCTAAATATATAGTTCCTACACGTTTTAGGTCAATTACTTTCTTCAGCTTGTATTGATTATACATCATACTTTAGATCTTGTTTGGAGTTCACTTCTTGTTCCCACAAAATGGGTTGTTTCATCATGACTGATATTATATTGTTACCCTACAACTTTTGTGCTTGTTCTAAATTATGCAGCTTGTGGAGCTACTAAAACTATGTGATTATAGAACACTGGCAATTGGTGATGGTGGCAATGATGTGAGAATGATACAGCAAGCAGATATTGGTGTGGGCATCAGTGGAAGGGAAGGGCTGCAAGCTGCAAGGGCAGCTGATTATAGCATCGGAAGTAAGTAATATCTACTTTGGCTTAATATTTTCTCATCCCTCTGTTTAATCAAATTCTAAGATGTATTAGGTTATTTCTCTAAGAAATCTTACTGTAGCTAAAAAAACACAAAAAAGCAGCCATCCATGTAGTTTAGAAGGTCAAACAAGTGAGATTAGAGCATGAAGAGGAATGGGTGTTCTTTTTCATTTAAATTATTCCTGATTATTTGGGGTTCTCTTTGACCATCATAGCCAACTTAAAGATGGTGTAAGGTTATCTGGCCATTGTAATGCTTGTTTCATAATGATTATCCTTAGATGTTTCTTTTTTCTCTTTTGAGAGTATGCTATTCCTGGGCTTAGTTTTTTTACTCTGTAATTAGTAATTACATTCTTTTCTCAACTATAAAACTTTAGAAGCTCCATAGGGAATTCTCGATTCTGATAGATCGTTTAAGTTTTTTTTAAATGATTGTTTAAGTGTTAATTGAACAGGAATAAAAAAATTGAGGTAACATTATAGGGCAGCAAAATGAGATACATGTTTTTCTATAAATATAAAATATATATTTATCTATTTATGAGATCTTGGGTACATCAACTCGCTGGCATCACTTAACCTCCAATACCATATTTCAGCTAAGTACCACTCTTCCTGAGACCACATCAGCTACAGCTAGTATCTGGCACATGATCAATCATATTTGATGGGCGATGTATTCTTAATGCTGTGCGGAAGTTAAAACTTCGGAACCCACCACGGAGTGTTCTTCAAATCCATGAAGAACGATCTCCGAATCCACGGAGAACTTCAAATCCATGAAGAAAACTTTAAGGAGGAATATTTTTGATGAAAAAGTAATTTATCCATAGGGTTTATAATTTTCTTCTTAAATAGAAAAACAAAGCCTACCCCTAATAACAATAGAATTCCTAAAAGATCGAAATTCTTCAAAACTACCTAAAAGACTCACTATAACAGCGAGACAAATCAGTCCAAAATTGAATCAAAATTGAATTTGTTTCCTGCCCTAAATAGACTCTAAATTTATTTCTAAAAATATACTAAAAGCTAATTATTGTGGGATTTATGCCAAGAATGGGTACTTTTGATGGCATTTTTGGAATCTATCAATCTAGATGGCTCCATTTAGTCACCTATATAATATGTCCGATTCTGCTCTTCGGATGAGGAGATAATTGCATTTTCTTCACCGTCAAGTCGGCAATGCAGTTCTTTGGATGAGGAGATATTGCATTTTCTTCACGATTAAGTCAGCAATGCAACCATATCCGTGTTTAGCTTGTGCCAGTGCCATGCTCCATGAATATGTTTGTTATGCGTCCTACATCAATCCCTCCTCCATAGTTTTTCTTTTTCTTGTGGGCAACCTCTCTCCTACGAAGCTTCATAATAATGCTATCTTGGGTACATATCAACCCTCCAGATATCACTTAACCTCCAGTACTATATATCAGCTAACAGTAACTCTTCTCGATGCCATAGTTGCAGCTAGATTGGGCGCATGTAAGATGCCAATACAACCAGGTTTGCCCGGTGATGTATTCTCTTCTGGACGTCAATCGACCGTAGTTTGAATCTTATCTCGTAGGCAACTTCTCTCCTGCAAGGTTCCATATATGAATGTTATCCATTTTTATATGTTGAACAGTGTGAATACACAGTCCGGTTATCAGTTTCAATCGTGACCCACTAGAAGAACCTAGAGCAAATCCAGCAATCATCACATTCTAACACATCTGGTCTCAGATGAAACTCTCCATAGGTGGCAGGCCAATGGGTAACTTTGGCATCTTTGTCATTTTGTTATGTAATCCTATTATGCATTACCTGGGCGTTATGATTATTAAAAGTGCCCTGTCAATATACAGTATATACTTGAACATGACTGACCTATATTCAAGTAACTCAAAACTGACCGGCCTAACCTTTTTGTCAACTTGATCAGGTTGGAGGCAGCTGTGCGGTTTTAGCAGTTAGGTTTAAAACAGTTTTGAGAATCATTTTCATAAAAAGTTAGGATCATTAGTTCGTTTTGGACTATTCAGGTTCATCGTTATCTGAAGTTTTCAAATTAGTTCAGAGTGGGCATGTGAAATTCCTAGTTATAGAAGGCTGAAATTTTTTGGTTTCTCTGGGTTTTAAAACCTTGACCCTATATTGTTTCTTATTTTGGACTAATTTTGAACTTTGCTGGCTACTTCATGAGCTTTAGTATGTAAGTCATTAAGGAGTTTATCATACTGCCTGCCAACTAAGGAAAATGGTAATTCATCTGACATGCATCTAACCATTATGCAATTAGGTAGGGCACTATTATCTGTTACTAGGTGTGTAAAATGAACACTGGAGGCTTGATGTTAGATGGACAGCCACTCATAAAATTTTGCTGGAAGGTTCCACTGAGCTTTCTCATTTCAATTTATATTTGCATCAATGATGGCTGGAGTGAGGTGTGATCCTGATGATCATGTCTTCTAAAAGGTCATGTTAAATGGCAATAAGTCAAAGATTGTTTGGCCTTTCAAGTTTCCAGTAACTTGATTCAGTTATCTATTCTGTATAACCTTCTAAGGGCACATTTTATCATGACGATAAAATTGCATGAATATTTTATTGTCCAATGTTACATTAAACGTTGGGCGTTTCTAGGCGTCGGACTTGGCGCCCAGTACTTAGTCTCCTAGGCGGGCGCCTAAGCGGTTTCTGGGCGTTTTTTTTCTTTCTTCATTTAAGTGGTGGTCGATGAGGTTTTGCTGAAGGTCGGAGGAGGTAGTGGAGATGTTCATATTTGGAGGTTAATGGAGTTTGGAGGACGTGTAGGCTACGACACATAAAATCACAATCAAGACCTACAGGGTACAATCCACGTAAGCAGACAATGCTCCCCTAAACGCTCGTAAAATCTAGGTGGGCAGCCTAAATACCGCCTAGGCGCTAGGCGCTAGTTAGACGGCCTAGGTACCGCCTAGGCCTAAGCATACGCCTAAGCGGACTAGGCGGAGGTTTTTTAAAACAGTGTTATTGTCCTTACTTTCTGTGTTTCGTTCCTAAATTTTTCCTTGTAAACAGGTCAACTAAGGCAGCAGAAAGGACCCTTGATGATGATATACAACCTTTTTTGGTTGTCTGCTCATATTTATCTACATAATAAATTGTGATTGTTTCTATCATTTTCTGCATTTGATTTGTTGTTTTGCTTTTGATAATTTGAAGAAAAATAAGGTAGATCCTATTGTCCACAACAAAAATCATGGGTTATCTGATAATACACGCATAATTATTTTAGTTCCTGAAAAACTTGAGTTCTTGTGATTTTTTAACTAGTATAGCTGTATAAACTTATCGAATATTGGAAACCCTTTGCTGAACTACATTCTCTAGTGCTTACTTTTCAGTTGTATTAGAACTAGCTCACTTTTTAAATTCACTAACTGTTTTATTGCATGATTTTGGCAGAATTCAGATTTCTTAAAAGATTGATACTTGTTCATGGCCGTTACTCATACAACCGTACAGCATTTTTGTCACAGTATTCCTTTTACAAGTCGCTGATGATTTGTTTTATACAGATACTGTAAGTTCTAAGTGCCTCTAATATTCATACACTTAGTTACTGTATTTGTTCCTAGAGGAAGTTAAAATGATCTTACTTTTCTGTTTGATTTTATCAAGGCTCTAATGCAGACATTTTGTGCCATGTAGTTTTTCCCTTTTTTCAGGTGTCTCAGGAACTAGCTTGTTCAACTCTGTTAGTCTGATGGCATACAACGTATTTTACACAAGCATACCTGTTTTGAGTACTGTCCTTGACAAGGACCTCAGTGAGAAAACTGTGATGCAGCATCCTCAAATCTTATACTATTGCCAAGCTGGAAGGTTAATAGAGCACTTCTTAGTATTCTGATGCTACTTGGTTCAAAAATGTAGAAATTAATTGTCTCATTTCCGTGGGACTCCTTTACTGAAGTTGTGAGAAACTTACCCAATTTTAGTTAATTTCACTGTTAATTGACATGTTTGTCATCTCTCTGAAACTAGGCTTTTAAACCCGAGCACTTTTGCTGGATGGTTTGGGCGGTCATTGTATCATGTAAGTGGAAATCTTTTTTATTTAATTACTATCCATCACATACTTCCACATGTTAATACTTGTAATGAGAAACCATAGATGCCTGGTTGTTTGCTTGTGGCAAAGCTTGTTGCTGCTGCTGTTTTTTAAGTTCCTCTTGATAAGCGATTCTCATCTTTGAAGATGGACCAAGAGCTATTTAACTACTAATCTCAATATCTGGAATATTATTGTAGAAAATGTAGAAGCACTATTTCTCTTGATATTTCCATCCTCTCGTTGCTAATAATCTTATGTCTCCAGGCAATCGTGGTTTTCTTTGTGACCATACATGCTTATGCTAATGAGAAAAGTGAGATGGAAGAGCTATCATTAGTCGCACTCTCCGGGTGCATTTGGTTGCAGGCTCTTGTTGTGACATTGGAGATGAGGTAAGCATCTGCAGCTCTGAAAGTGAAAAAAATAAAACATAATAAATAGGGTTAATTATGGATAGACCTCGGTAGTATCGTTGAATTTACGTAATCCCCCCCCCCCACAAAAAAAAAAAAAATAAATATATATATATATATATATATAATTGTATGCAATATTGATCCCGATGAGATTGTTTTTGACTGTTATATCCTCAGAGAAAGAGAAATATCTTTTTTCTACAACAGACCCCCTGAGGATAAAATAGTCAAAAAATCACTCATGGGGTCTATCCACAACAACAAAGGTAGAGGGTAGTTGGTTCAAAACAATAATACTAGACGGGGTCTCTCCGCAACTAACCCTAAAAAAATAAAGAGATTAAAATAAATTTTGTTTCGCTTGTGCAGTTCCTTTACAGTATTGCAACACATTGCCATATGGGGAAATTTTCTGGGCTTCTATGCAATCAACTACGTAGTTAGTAGTCTACCCTCCGCAGGAATGTATACTATCATGTTCCGCCTTTGTAGACAGCCGTCTTACTGGATTACTATGATTGTGAGTCTTCATCACCATACATCCTTTTGTTATTACATTTGAGGTTATTCTCGTGTTGACCCTAAATTCTACCCTATTTTTATATTAGGCACCCAAACGTTTGTATTTGCAAGTTACATCATCACAATCCCATGAAGTGTATTTCACCCCCCCCTCCCCCCTCCAAATTGTAATTTTCAACCCCATTGCCATCAATGTTCTCTTAAATAACAACCCCCCCCCCCCCCCCCCCCCCCCCCCACATAAAAAAAAACAAAAAAAACGCAAAAAAAAAAAACAACCTATGGATTTGCTGATATATTACAATATGCTGATTCTGGGGCATTATTATACAAATGGTTTTACAGCACTCTCTCTCTTAAGTCCATCACTTTGAAAAATTCCTCTCTCTCTCTCTCTCAGTCATCAACTTCGAAAAAATACCCCCCCCCCCCTCTCTCTCTAAGTCATCCACTTTGGAAAAAAATACCCACAGAATCAACAAATCATCAACTTTGATAAGCTAATATGTAGTTTCTACTGAAAAAATATCAACGAAATAGTCAAATGTACTCACCATATCCAACAAAGTTTTTGATTTGGGGATTTGTGGATAGTTTTGCAAATACACGTCACACATGATTTAAGGGGTATATATACAAGAACCCTATATAAATAAGATAGAATATAGGGTCTGATATGAGAAAAACCCTACATATCTGCATAACAAAAACCCTACATATCTGCATAACTATTCAATTTCTATTTCTTGCATGTCTATGTATTTCAGCTCATCGTCGCAGTAGGAATGGGTCCAGTTCTAGCCATCAAATACTTCAGATACACATACAAATCAAGTGCAATTAACTTGCTACAGCAAGCAGAGAGATCTCCTAACCGAGTATTTTCCATGGGGAATCTCGAGTCACAGCTGAAGACTGTAGATGAAGACATGGCCTCTTTGTCCATAAATCAACCAAAGAGCAAAAACCCTGTTTATGAGCCTTTGCTCTCTGATTCTCCAACTGCTGTTAGAAGATCTCTTGGACAATCTACTTTGGATTTCTTTCAACCGATACAATCGAGGCTTTCTTCTTCTTATTCTAGGAATTATAAGAAAAGTTGAGATAGATAAAGTTCAAGGTTTCTGTTAACAACATTGACAATGTACAGAATGTTATATTGGGCTCCAAGGAGCCACAAATTTTCTTTGTTGCATTATTAGCAAATATTTATACGCAATGATGAAATGCAGAAAAGGAAGTGAAAAATGTAAGTTACTGAACTTGGAAGCAAGTTTTTATTTATTCATATGTACTTTTGATATGCACCATATTTCTTTGTTTGGTTGATGAGATTATGTTGCTTGATTACAAGTGGTAGAAGCTTCATTGGTGAGGGTGGATTCGCTCTGTTTTTGTTATTAGTGTTGGTTAGGGAGCTGGTCAACGTGAGTGAAATAATTCACTGATCTTCATGCATTTTCTTTATGACCAAGAAAAATGTAAGCAGAAGATTGCAGTAATAATTGATGTCAATCCTCTAGGTACTCTCTCAATGATTAATTAATTCTAATATATATTGCTACTGCTTGGTGCATTTGGCAATGGTAGGATTTTTACTAATAAGAGAACATCTCGAGCCTCTGCACAAGATCATTAACTTCTCCTTTTTGTAAAAAAAATGTTTTATTTAATGTTATTTGTACATATATAACCGTGCGTACTTTTATCACAAATCTCCCATAATATTAGCGTACACGCTTCTCACGTCCACGGCAATATTATTTTTTTGCGATTAAAAAAAATCTAATTCAAAACCATCACAGGATTACCACGGGTTTATAAAGTAATAGGAAAAACGTATGGATGAAAGAGATGGATGCATCAACAGATCATGCCAATGCATTATGCATTGATACAAGAAAAATATATCAGAAATAAGAAACTAGAAACAAATCCTTATGATACATGCCCTCAGATTTATATAACCATATAACTCACAATAAAGTTGGAAATTTGAAGGTGCCACAGATTTTTTTAAAAAAAAAGAAAAAAAAAACCTGGAGTATAGACTGCGTAAGGATTAAACTCGCAACATAATGTTTCCTACAGACATTTTTTTGACGTTTCCTACATGCATGTACACCTTTAAATCCCCTTTATTGAAAAGAATGTCTTAACATAACTACGGCCACTATATATACACATGAATGTAGAGCATGTACAACCTTCAAACAAATTCAGCTTCGTGTAGAACTATAAACTTTATCCCAATTTAATAAATTAAAAAAAAAAGCCTTCTAGTGCTCAATCGTAATAAAATTAAAAAAAAAAAGCCTTTTAGTGCTCAATCCCTGTATTCTTTCTCGTAACTTGTGTTCCTCGTGAAGTACTGTTTTATAGAGGATGCTGCATACAAGGCTGTCGAAGAACTGCTGCAAGAAGAATTATGTACTATCTATCCGCTTCCTTTTCGGGTACTGGGTAAGGATCTATCCAGCACTTGTCATCCGCCACCGCTCTCTGCCATCTTTCTTTGAAGATCTCCAGTTCAACATAAGACCGTTTCCTCACCTACATTGAGCATAAGCAAAACACATAATAACTGAGCAAGAACCTACACGCATTCCTTTATTGGTCTAGTGTCAGTTTGTAGGATATCCTTTATTCTGTATTCCCTAAGTAACGCCAAAGAGATTGAAAGTGTTCAATGACTTATTTACTTGCTGTTAAAGAACCAAATCCATTGTAACTGCATACTTGATGCTGTTATAGAGAGAACTCTTACTACGAAACTCCCTGCAAATATGAAACAGTAAGAATTTTGAAACTTACAGCAAGTCTATCTTTGTCCGGGGGTGAACCAGAAGAAATCTGTGAAGTCAAACAAATACAAGTACTTACTTAAGTGACTAGTCACCTCAAACAAAATTGGTCCAAGGCATGAGAAATCTTACCTTACGTGCTCTAGATGCCTTAGATTGAGAATAGACACTGGATGTTTCTGTGCTCTTCTGCGTATAAAAGAAAATGATGCTAATAAGTAATAAAGAATCATACTTTAATTCCACAAATTGGAAAATACAGTTGTGTCTCCGAGTATTGGTTATTGTATTGCGTACGTCTCATCCGTATAAATAGCTCACCTTGCTTTCATTTAGACCACCGAGAGTTGGAAGTCCCAAATGTCCTATATATTCACTGTCCACTACACCAACCTTTTTACTCCTATCGCCCTATTAAATATGATTTTAGACGTCAAATATAACATTAATCTGTAGAAACATTGACAATAGATAACGAAAGATTACCTGAACACAGTAACCAAGCTTCATGTCTAAGCCCCATGCATGGATCAAGTCATTCTGCAAAATGATCATCATACATGATCACAGTGACCTTGAGAGGGAGCGAGGAGCTTTTTGATTCCTATTTCTTAGCTTTTTAATTCCTATTTCACAAAACCTCCAGCAAGTTAGGCCCATTTGAGATAACCACTCAAAAAGTTTGGAAACGTCACTTAACCCCCAAAACCTTTTTAGGTAACCCTTAAAATAATTGGGGGTTATTTGAAAATAGATTCAGAAAAATGCAAAAAGTTTTGGGGGGTTAAGTGACATTTCTAAACTTTTTGGGGGTTACCTCAAAATGGCCAAACATCTTGGGATTTGTGCAATTTACACTTTCAAAACATATTTTACTTTTCACCAGTGCGCTAAATGGAGCAGGAAAAAACCAAAATTTTAACCTTGCGCAAGTAATTTCATGAAAAATGGTTAAATTCATTGCCATTAATCTAAAAGACTTTGACAATAATCCGCAGCTAAGGCAAATATGATAGGCAACAGTAATAAAATTAGCAAGAAAATAGACACACCTGGATCAAATGCCATGCACAACGCCATGCAGCTCTGGAAAACACAGGAGCCATCATTTCCACCCATCTGCACAACCAGAAAAAAAAAGGTTATATTGAAATGTCTCTTCTATATAATAAAATATGCTTCAGCAATTACCAAGCAAAAAGGTTATGATATAAACTCAAAGAACAAATGGGGAATTGGTCAACAGAAGACCTTTAGGATAAGAAATCCATCTAGAATACTACCAACTGCAAGCTTGTATATGCTTAATTGAACCTAATACACTTGCTCAAGGATTTTAATGATAGTGCCACAAAAGTGGTCATTGATGCATGATTATATCCAATAACATTTCTTATGACATGAAGTTCTAGATAAAATATGCCAATCACCAATTACAACAGCCACTATTGATCCATAGTATCGGAGACATTAGTCCTTGTAAATCTAAAATATGCTAGAACTATATAGTAGAATAAGCAGACTTAGCTTTTTCTTCGGAATGAGGAGAGACTAGCCCTTTCAAATCATAAACTAAGTCATGGAATAAGCACAAAAGTTGAAGTTAAAAAAAAAGAAAGTTTACCCAGTGCAAGGAGGACCGGTACTATTCTCATAGCACCTCCCACCACCACTTAACTTGTAAATTCTCCTATTGATTCAACAAAGAAACTCTTACCATTAGTACAAGCCATACTAAAGTTAGGATATAAGAGAAAACAAAAATAAACTACTCAAGAATAAAGTTTAGTTAAAAACCGAAACAAACAAAGATAAACCAACCTGTGTACATCTCCTTTTCTTGCCCGTGCAGTAATTCGATGATGAACATTTGATTTGGAAGTGTCCAATCCAGGTTGGGATATATCTAGACCTTCTCTTCGAACAATTGATAAATAACTGAAGTAAATAAAAACGCCATTTAACAATGAAATGAGCTTAGTTAAACTACATTTTACAAGGAAACAAACACCACTTCATCAAAAACTGCAAATGCCAAGATAAACTGGAAACACCGAATCAATGTAGAGTAAAGAAAACAAAAAGGGAGACCATCAATCTAAAAATGCGTGACAGAAAATTTTGGTACATAAGATCCTAGTAAAAGGAAACAACCCAAGAGATTTTATACATTGCTTAGCTTAAACCTAAATGGAGAATTGTTTCTGAAAGACCATTTTTGAAAACTAATTAGCAAAAACGACCCTTTTGCTAAATAAATAGCGAAATCGACCTCTTCTTGGCCATGTCATCAAGGTTGTCCAAAAAGAGGTTGATCTTTCAAAATATCGAGTTTAAAATACATGGGACTAGTAGTTCCGTGTAATTAGTAGTCGTTAATTACTACTTAATCTAATTCTTTTAGTACTAACGGCACTATTAGTCCATGTAAATAACAGATATGTTCAGCCTCATCCAACGAAATACACAGGACTATCAGTCCCATGTATAAAATAGATAGATCTTGGTTTTTTGCCAACGCAATACACATGACTACTAGTCCCGTGTATTTATCGGCCTATATAAACCATGTGCCCTAATTTCACCGCAGCCCCAACTCTCAGTTTCTCGACAGCGATTCATGCCCATTGAA